CGAATGAATTCAATTAGAGCCTCCCATTCTCTAACTCTGTCTAGTGATTCCTCCAACCCCGCAAGGAGATTTCACGTCAAAATGATGAGCATGCTAACCATATAGGACCCACAGCATCCAGCCACAATCAGACGGCAAAGCATAACACCAGAGAGACCCAAAAGATTAAACGCGCTATCCCCACTCCCTCTTCCATGCCCTCTATACCTACGAGCTACCTACACTCAATAAGATCTCCCAGAAAGGCTATCGCAACCCGACCCAGCAGTCAGCGACGCAGGCGGTTGGGCCAACTGCGATGCCTAAGTCACAGCTCACTGGATGCCAGGGATAAGCGTCAGGGAACTGAGCACTCTCCCACACACATCGTCCCACTTCTCCGACAGCAACGAAACCTAAGAGGTTCCCGCCTATTCGTGACCTCTGAAGTCTCACACATACACAATCCGACAGTTGTGCAAATGAGCTTAAAAAAACCACAGAACGACTCCAAAAAACACCAAAACAACAATGTGAACACCACAATGTAAGATAGAAAGACACCCTTGCTAGCTGAAGAAGCGCTGTGACTCTAGCAGGACTTACCACCAATCACCTCAGATTGCAAAGTCTCATTAACGACCTCATTGTACCGACAGGTTACATGGAGTCCAAAGACAAAAACGCCACCTTGCCTGCTGTTTTACAATGCGTCCCACAAAACCTTGATTGAGTCGGATCTCCGCGCGGTACACTTGCTCCAAGATCTCAAATGTCGCCGAGGTGAGAAGGCCTGAGCCTTGTGCTAGTTGCTCTGCTTCTCTGATGATACGAGGCCCGCCCCGGATAAGCAAGTCTACTTCCAGAGCTCACTGACACGCGCGTCGTTGACTGTGGCAGAACACTAATCCAACTCCGACCCACCCTCTTCAGTCAATCAAGAGGCACCCATCAGAAACACAGATACACGGACCAACCCGATCAGCGCACGCGATCACACGCTGTCCGAGACAGGCATGCGCAGACCAGAATTTCGCACGTCACCACCTCCCGTATTCTGTTACATGTTAATACCCCCACCTTTCGAGACAAGACAGACATTCGCCTCGAGTCCAGTGAGCATCGCCCAGATCAGCTCTGAAGAAAGACGGAAAAAGTGGCTGATCCCTGCTGTCCACTACCACAAGGTCTCGATTCTCAGGTGAAAGCTCGGGCGTTGGGCTGCTTGCGAAAACATACCGGCCACCAATCCCCCCGAAGGACGTGCGAGTCCTAGTAACTTCGTACAAACCGCATGGTGTTCGTAGAGATGGAAGAGTAATTCAGCGTACGTCTCTCTCGAGTGTCCACTCGGCCAGGTTACTAAGAACCACCGAAGTAGAAGAGGTCCAACGTGCTAAAAAATTCGCCATCCCACCACAGTGGCCTCGTGCCAAGGCAATCACAACTTCGTAAGTGGCAGAGGCGCCCCCATGAGCCGTCCTTCCCGTCGCCTGTGTTTGTTTGGGGTTTTTTTGTCCCTTGGATCTCTTAGCCATCAGAATGTCTTGTATACTGTATTATTACCATTGAGTTTATAATTTAGAGGTATATTTATCAATGGAGTCATCATTGCGCCTTAGCCATATTTGGTCCATTTTGATTGACCTATACTATTGGGCCTGCGACCCGTGGCTCAAGAGTTGAGTATCGCCTTGTAATCTGGGAAGGTGCTGTCGGCCCTGCTGCAGCCCAAGCCTATCCGACAAGTCTCGGTTGTTGTGCCTGGCCAAGCCCACTGATCATCCCCTTTGCGCTACTTTTGTTGCCTGTTCGAGAGGTGGCCAGTGTGCAGCCACCTCGACCAGCCTCGACCTCTGTCAGCCGCGTCCCCGGAGGTGCTCGTGTCGCTACAATGTAGCATGTCTATCTCCTTCACACACCATCCAACCAGTTGTGACCACGTGATGACGGCATTATTGGTAAACGCCCTTTTGGGATCCATTTAGGCACTAGTAGGTAAGGTGCTTGGTATACGTATAAATACACGGCACTTATGGTGATGGCTTATAATTAGTCTAGTTCACTTCTTATATGTATATTGTTATGCTTGCGACACCCCGACATACATGACCTGCGTGGTGGCCGATGGTCAGGGACTATGGCGAACCATGAATTGAGCAAGACAAGACGAGGGAGAAAAGAAAAACAGAGGGAGAAGAACGGTGCAGAGAACCCGCGCCGTCAAGACCATGGAGAAAAAAAGTAAACGCCTAATACAAACAGACATCCTGCCGAACAACCTCCACCTTGTATGGAGAAAAAGACCAAAAGCAGAGAGAAAACACACACAACAAAAGAGTATATATCCTATAGACCAAACACTGTGCAGGCAACCATCACGAACCTCCAAACGTGAGCCCAACAGAACGACTACCCAGTAATACGCCCGAACTAACTAAACACCTAGGACTCTGTCGCCAGCACGAGCAGGAAATTAAGACCACGCGCGGCAGAGGCACATACTCTCTGAGAGGCAGGACACGAAGAATGGTGTTAGTCTTCCTAGCTATCCGTGAATCAACCATGTGTGATATCACCGCGTGTCATAACCATGCGCTAGAAAGATGCAAAAGCCAAATGCTTTCTATTCCTTTTTATTTCTTCTATTATATTGTGTCCGCATTATAGCACTTATCAGCCAATCTCCGAATGTCTGGGTCTGCATACTGGCAAATATAGATGTCCCAAAGCCCAGCTTATACCAATAGATGAAGTTATCAATTCGATGAGCCATGCCATAATTGGCCCATTATGACGTTTACACCTAATTGATGAATGTGATCAACCTTTTTATTTTCAGTTGCGTACAAACGGCACACACACTGACTGACTCCGAATACGAACGATGTTGGCCAGCAGTGCCAACTCCTTATAAGCTTCTCGTGTCCCATCGAGTACTAGACCATGATAAGCCATTTAAGCAAAGAATCGAATATTCGTGAACAATTCCCTGAGTACTGCTCACGCACGAGCGACACAAGCTACAATGACACTAACTCGCACGACAAGAGTAACGTCCAGTCCATACGGTGTGAAAAACGGGCAGCCAAAACGTACCACAGCATGAATTACAGAATGCAAGCCAGAAAATACAAAAAACACCATAGAGTCACCACTGCTATGCGGAATAATAAAAAACCGAGAGACAGATATACATGCCAAACAACAAAAGATTGCCAACATCTATAAAACTTCAACAGAATACAAGCATTGCCCATACCATTAACAAATAAACACTGATATTCCAAAGTCTTTACTATCCTCCATGTCCCAATATCTCATAGGTCGTCGCGAGTGCGAGACTAGCTAATATCGCACCGATCCCTCAGGGCAGTATGAAGCAGATACGACGAGATCACATGGCCTCACGACAGCACTTCCAGAAGCACCCAGATAAGCGCGGAGAATCGCTACGCCGACGATCCACCAAACTAGACGATAAGAGAACCTGCACACAACCGACCTAGAATATATTTCGCCTATCGATAGTCCATTTAATTAATAACACACTGTATGAACGTATCTCACTTACATGGCAAATACCTCGAGCAGGATCGCGTAGAGTAGAGTATTGTAATCGTAGTAATGACATTCTCCGTCTGAAGTAGGAAAGAAGGGAGAGATTATTCCTGAGTATTTTTTAGAACTGATTTGCATTGCAAGTAGACTGGCTATGAACGCCTATGGTGAATGAAGAGTAGAGTAGAGCATCCTTCATACTATGGAGGTATAAGAATTATACTGTGATCGCCAGAAACGTGCACGTTCCCTCCGGAGGTCACCTGTGATGTAGAAACGAAGAAGCGAGTAACAGCCGTGCAGAGTGGGTACGTTCCCCATTCTCCCAGAAGACAGACCAGCACAGGAACAAGGGTCGAGGCGTGTATAGCCGCCCGGGGAGAATGAGAAGAAAAGTGGGGATGGATCAGTGATACGCACTAGTAAGGGAGGTAACGCGCGAAACCCATGCAAGCCGATAAGCAGAGCCAATAGCTATGCCACAACCACGTGGAGATTGGGAGGCGCTCTGCGATCAGGGTCCACCAGGCGCCACCGTGGGAAGAAAGAAGCAAGCGTGATCGTCAACCACAGCCTACAAGCACGACTACCCTTTTATGCCTTGACTCAGTCTTTCCCGTGGGCTGTGCGTGTGACTCCGAGTGACGCCCCAGTTCCCGCAATGAGAGCGAGTGAGGTGTGAACCTGTGAGATCTCCAGCATCATGCTGGCGGAATAGAACGGGAGAGACCACCAAGGCGACGTAAAGTAAGAGCACCAGCACGCAGGAGCAGAATGTCCAAGGGACAACAACGTTGGCGACGCAAGAACTCGGGCCGCGGCTGCGGCCGGACAGCCCGCGGCCAAGGAGACGTCAGCCGCAGCCAAGGCCGGGTCGGAACCCACCCCCCCGGAAGGCCAGCCGCCACAGCCCAAGGCCCCCAAGCGGCCACCAGGGACCGCCCAGACTGGCAGGACGCCCAGCCCCAGCACCAAGACACCAACAACACCAACGCAGGCAGCAGCCACCGGCAGAGGGGAGGGACAGACGCCCGGACTGAGCCAGAGTGGCACCCAGAGAAACCAACCTTCGAAAGACCGCACTACACCCAACGGAGACAACCCACAAAGAGACACGCACAGACAGGACACACCCCCAAAACGACGCGAAGTCCCACAGCCCCCGCCCCAGACACTCACCGAACCCAGAAGGACACCCCGGGAGGCATAAACAACCACCCTCCAGCGGCGAAAGCAACACCCACCCAAGCCCCAGCGACGCCAGCACCCGCGCCCCACAGCGGACAAACAACCGGGAGAAACAATCCAACAGCCCGATCGCAGGCGAGGGAGTAAGGCACTACAAACAACGCTCAGCAAAACACGAGGAACCAAAGAATGAGCAGGCTATTAACATAGTTCCCTGTCATAAGTAGCCTCAAGAACGGAAGACACCCGCGCATTGGCCACTTGGCCGAGGTACGAGTTAACTATGTGGCCTGAGAGCGGTTTGGGCTCCTCCCCCTTTTATTCTGTATTTGTTCTTTTTGAGTAATTTGACAAGAATTT